CTTGGAGCAACCCGTAGGATTTCCAATTTGAGATTCGAAGACAAAGTCCTAGGTCTGTGATGTGCTTTGCACTTCGGTTGATGACCTTGCCTCGATTTGTGTACAGAGTTTGCTCTCGCGTGAATTGGTAAACATAAATCTCGACAGGAATATTTTTGAAGTGCTCTGGCTCCGAAAAAATAACCCGATAGAAGCTTACAGTGAAGTCTGGTTCAGCTGTGTGGGAATGGGAAGTCAAAGGGTATCAGTTAATAGTGCACTCACCAAAGGAGGCAAAATATAAAGAAATTTGATTCCACCAAACGATGCACGGAAGCAAGTCGGGTTAAATTGCCACCTGGACCAAGGTTCAACTGGCAGACGTCCCTGCTTTGGCGTTAATCCAAAGCTACCTTTCGGTGAAACACAGGTCAAAATGTGTCTTATAGTTTCTATTTGCTTTCTTGAATTTGAGTTGCAGTGAGGAAATTCTTCAATCGAGTCTTTTCACTGTAAACCACTGTCCTTCGCCAAAAAGTGTATTATAAAACGCATTTCTGACTAAATTCAGATCGATTGGTATCCTCCGGCTAGTTTCCATCAATAGTCTTATCGTTTGGCCAGAGCAAAATTCACCGAAACCGTCCTTCTGTCGGAAATCTCGGCTCATCTACAGGGCCTACCCATCAAATTTACTGTCCCCAAATGCTTGCCAAAGTTAGGAGCGGCATCTGCAAAAGGGCTGAGTTGATATTTCTACGCTGCTTGCTGTGCTGCTTAAATTCAGAAAATTGTCATTTTGTCAAACATAGGTCTACCTGCAAAAGGTTTCCTAAGCCTTTCATCCTGGAATTTTTTCGGTATATCCAACATAAGCATGACGTCAGCGACCGTGTCGTCCATCAGGGAAATGGCATGGGTCGTAAAGCCCTCAAACTTTCGCAAAAATCTTTCGAGTTTTATGATAATGCAAACGAAACAGGGAGGAATGAGGATCATGATCGACTGCGGCTTATTTCGTCGTCAGATATTACCTTTGTCGGGGCACGAAACCACTGTGACCTCGAGACGTTCGCCGCAGAGGGGGCAATGTCTGATCATTTAGTGATCTACAATGACCAGATAATGAAGCTCCCTACCCTAATTCGTTAGACGGAACCGATTTAAATGAGAACACAATAGGTTCCTTTAATGCGAACTCAAGCGGCACCATAATAGAACGTCCCAAAATTCTGAAACTAAAGTTTTTTACAACAACCTGAAATGTATACGGTCCAAGTTGGACGAATTGAAGATCCACATCTGTGACCTTTCTCCCGACGTTACCTCGTTGACAGAAACCTGACTGTCTCAAAACGTGGATGACCACGAGTAAGTTCTACTAGGATTTCAGTTGTTTCGACGAGATAGGAGGGAGCGTCAGGGAGGGGGAGGAGGAGTGTTCAGTCGACTTATGTTTTTGACCGAAGTCTCCCCAACAACAGTAGCATCTGCAAACCAATTCCTCGAGCGCATAAAACATCTGAATTTGGACTCGCTTACGTAAAACACGGACTGCTTGTGGTAAAGAAAACCAGAAAATATTTCGTGCAGCGCAGAGCCTATCTGGCCCATTATAAGGGTACCGGGATCACATAGCCTTGAAGTTCTGGCCGTCTATCGACCACGAGGAGTGACCCCGAGGCTGACGATCGTCTGTTAGAGGAACTCGAGCGATTTGCTGTCCGGTCTGAAGTCCTGATCATGGGCGACTTTAATGCACCGTTCATTGACTGGAGTTGAATATACGCGCGCGGCCCAGAACCAGCTATCGACCGACTTTTCTTTGACATGGTACTCAGGTCATTTCTCACTCAGCGCATCTTATTTCCCACGGGGGTGCGTTTGGGGCATCAGTCAAACTGCATCGACCTGGTGTTCAGGAAATCGCTGGACAGCATAGATGAGGTGCAATGTCTGCCTCCCCTAGGTCGAAGCGACCACATCGTACTACACTGGGATTGTTTAAGTTTCTCTGTACCCGAACGGTCCACCAGAATTAGATGAAATATTTGACTTGGTGACTTCGAGCAAATGAAGGCGGAAATCAACAAAATAGACTGGCAATCAGCTTTTTTTCGGAAAGATAGCGGAGTATTGGGAATGGTTCAGTGAGTTATTGCATCTTCTGCTGAGAAACCAATGCCCGCTTTCACGGAAAATGCTAAAAAATCGACCCCTGTGGTTTAAACTTAGGTGTTAAAAAAGGGAAGTAAATAAAAAGCGGAGGTTGTGGCAGAAATCTCTCACTGATAGGGATCTGTGTCCATAAACGCTCACAAAGCACAGAAGTACTTAGTCAAGCGACTTGCCAGCAGGATACAACAAAATTTTGAAAAAAACGTACCGAATCGAGCTGCGGAAAATTTGAAATTATTCTACAGCTACATAAGACGCGACACACAAAACAGAGATCCAATCCCTGTCCTGAAGACAAGTGGAGACGTGGAAATTAGTGAGGATGGAGAAAAAGCTGAACACCTTACACAATATTTAAATTCACCTTCATGAGTGAAAGCGCATTTACTCCTCCCGACTACGACTTCGATGAGGGTCCAGAAATTGAGGCTGTATATTTTGATGAAGCGACTGT